CCCCAAAACCCCAAAACCCCAAAACCCCAAAACCCCAAATCTCGCTTAAAATGCTGAAAATTACATTTTTAACGCTAATTAAGGGATTTGAACCTGTGAGGAGATTGGTAAGGAAGAGGGAAGTTGGATTTAAGGGGTTGTGGGTAGGGGCCTGGAAAGAGAGAGCAAGAGATTTGAGGTTGTGGGTGGTAGATCTTGGCTGGGAAGCTGGTGCTAGCGTTTAGAGAAGATTATTGTGGTTTTGAGGATCCTTTTGATATAGGAGGGATTTTGGCTTCAGAGAGTTGGTTTTTTGTAGTGATTGTAGTGTTAGAAATTTCTTATTAGAGTGTTATCAAGATTCTCTAGTTTTTGTAGTGAGATATGAGAGAAATTAGAGAGGTTAATGCTCTGAGTATGTATATGTGGCCAAAGAGATATTTAAGATGGAACAGGAGGTATTCATATCGTCTGGAAAGCTTCAAGAAGTAAGAATATCGCTAAAGAAAATTTTAACTTCTTAATTAGATGCTAAAAATTCTTTAAAGTGAAAATAGAGGGGACTGATTAGGAAATCCTTCTAAAAGAAGGACTTTAATTAAATTTTAGTAGTCGGAGAAATTAGCTTCATAAAAAATAAGATTTTGGATTAAAGATATCAAGATACGAGTTTTTAAGCCAAGAAATTATGTCTAGAAATAAGATTTGAAACTAGGAGATGAGAGTAGTAACTTATTTAAAATCTAAATAATTATAAGAAGGTATGATTAAAATTGAATTTAAATCCTTTACTTCAGCCCCGTTTCAAAAACTAATACTACAAAGCATCAAAATCATCAGAGCATCTCCTAGTGACCAAGGATCCTTGTGATAATCGGCTTCCTAAACTGGATATCACAAGGCTTCATAATTGTAGCTGTTGTAAGCCTTATTGTATTGCCTAAACTATTTAAAAAATTAACTCTCATCAGATGGTATTAAATCCTTTTTCTGCTAATACTCTTGCTTTATTGAGCATAAGTAGACTCTTTGACGTAATCTGAAATACTCATTGAGGTATGATCCATTAGCCATTAGCATATTAAAGCTGTACAGATTAGAATAGACTCAGGCTATATTATAGTTGTTAAATATCTTTTAAAACTCATATTTGTTTTATAAGACCTCTGTTCCGGCTTAAAACTTCACTATTTCTACATTTTACGAATTATCTTAACTTTGTGAAAGAAAAAGTCAATAGATTAGCTGTTTAGATGGGATTTTAATTCTTCAAATTTCCATAAAATATTAGCAAGCAGGGTTTTAATCATAATCTTGGGTTTTTACAGCTAGAATGGCGGCATGTTTTAGTGGTGGGATATAAAGGAGTGTAAGTAGCTTTGTAAGTGATGGGAATATCCTCATGGCTTTTTAGTGATTTTACCTTCTGTGGAAGGATTTATGCGTCAAGAGTTGTAAAAAATTAAGTTGTTCAAGATGATATGGTACCTTTGCATATATTTTGATATTTTATGTCAGAAATTTGGATAATGCAAATTTTTGCTAATTAAACATAAATCTTGTAAAAATTAAGTCAAATTCAAAGAATAGAGATCATCAACATCAAAATTTATGCTAATAATCCTAATTGTACCATGATTGTACTCGGCAGAAGTTCTTCCTATTCTTAATTTCAGAAAGAATTTCTGAAACTAAATATGACAAGAAACAATGAACATTAACTATAAGCTATGAATGAGAGGATGAAAGAAGGCCACTCCTAAGCATAATTTATTACCCTTTTATCTAAACTCTCCCTATAATTTCTCTCTTCAAAGATCCTAAAAGTAAATATAGTCACTAAAAACTTACTCCTCAAAATACAAGTGTAAAAAGCCAAAACTGGAATATTAATTCTTTCCAGAATCCTGGCTATTTGCCCTCTCAAACCAGAAGTACCATCTCTTACTATCTAATAACTCCTCTCCGACAAGACTGCACCAATCCAGCTTTCTAAATTACAAAAAATCCTGAAAAATCTTTCCAAAAATTCTATTTTGAAATAAAATTTGAAAATATTCTCAAAATTTACTGAAATATTAACATTAAGACCAAATTTACGCAGGCTAAATTTGGTAATTTACTGTAGGATTAGATCGAACGAGAACTAGGGGTTCACCGATCATTGCAAATTTGGTTGTGGTCAGGGAATTAGGTTACAAGAGAAAGAAGAGAGATTTTTAGATAATTTTGATATTAATCGTTAGGACTGCCTCTTTTTGTACACTCCGTATTTCTGCTTGTATTCTTCTGGATGGAACTTTCTGATGTGAGTCTGTAATTATTGAGATATTGACAAGATATTAATGTTTGTAAAAACCCATGATTCTTATAATCTCATAACAACTGAGAATACTCACCTTGAGGTTGTATTTCTCTGTGTACCATTTGGCTCAGTGTAGTCATTGATGACTTCTCCTTGCCTCTACTTCTGGTTTTTGGTGCAAAAGCATGTGCTTGTCAAGGTTACCTTTTTGGGTGTACTGTCTGCTGCAAAATGGGCACTGGTAAGGCTTTTCACCTTCGTGCATACGAACGTGATCGAGGATGCTCCAGGTGCGAGTGAACTCTTTATTGCAGTCATCATACTGACAGATGTAAACTGTGGTAACACATCCTTTGGAATTTTCTCTTTCCTCTATTTTTCACTTGTACTTCTTCAAAAGTTCTTTCTTTATTTTAAATCTCTTTATTTCAGGAGGTAAGAAATTATGTATTCCTTGAGATCCCATTCCTTCATAATTTTTAATAAAGCCAAAAGTCTTAAAATTTTGTTCTCATAGCTGTTTTTGTTTAATTTGTATTACTAAATAAGATTAAAATGCATTAAAATAAGAAAATAATGTTTAATACCATCTTTCTTTTGATAAATAAAATTATTTCTAAACTAAAATTTCTCAAAAGATCAAATTTTAATAACTTCTTTCAACTCCAAGCACAGATGGCAGAAAGAAGTTATTAAATTCAATATCTGCCAGCCTTCGTTATGATAATTATGAGATGTAAACCATAATTTAGTTAAGAAAGTAAGCTTTATATCAATCTCAATTTCTATTATAGGCAGGCTTACCATCTCAAAAACTTGGACAGCTTCAGTAGTTGGAATATTCCCTTAAAAGATTCGTATCATTCTGATATCTCACAAAATTCTCAGATTTCTGTAGTTTTAATGGGATCGGAAGGGTTCTATCATCCTTGTGCCCAATAAAGGTCTATATAACCATAAGTCTATGTCAAGGCGCTAGTCCAAGATTCTTACATTATAACTCTTGGAGTTGTGCTTGTGCATCAAATATTATATTTCTCAGTATATTTAATGACAATATCTTCAACACAATCTATCCATTACGGGGTTTTGGGGTTTTGGGGTTTTGGGG